TGAGGAAGATGATTGTTAAAGCGATCGAGGGTGGATGGACTCTGTTGCGAGGATCAATAGACCCAGCCCCAGTATCAACAGCAACTGAGGCAGAGGGAGCAGAAGGTGGCGCAGAAGGAACGGGAACGGGTGAGTCAGAAGAGGAAGTAGAAGGACTAGCGGTCCGTCTAACCGAGCCAGCAGTTGAAGAACACGAAGGACCGAAGTACGAAGACTCAGTAGTTGCTGCTGCTGCTGCTGCACCAGGCGAAGAGGCTTGGGAGCCAGGGGTAAACTCGCTAGTCGATGCTGGTGGTGAGAGTTGTTGAGCCAAAGTGTTCGCGTAGACTTGGCTGATACCTAATGGACTGTTGGTATGTGGGGATTGGTTTCCAGTCACATGTTGTTGAAGTCGATTAATCTAAAAAACAAAAAAACAGCCAAACTGTTCAGAGCATAATTTTGCTTGGAGAGAAGAATGTTTATACTCACCTCTTCGCTGGCAGTCTTTAAGGAAGCCCTCAAGGCCTCATTCTCGGCCTGCAATCGTTCGATCATCTCCCGTTCCTCACTGCGTCCTTGATTGTTGTTCAGGGTTGTTGTCATGTTCGTTGTTGTTGGGGGCGGTGGTCCATCTTGTTGAGCTCCATTACCAGACTCTTGAATCGAATCATTCCGGTTAAGACTCCTCAATTGGGCCTCTAATTGTTTAGTCCGTCTCTCTAAATACTCGAGTCTTTCCTGTTTCTCTCGTTGTCTTTCTCGAGTTCGATCTCTAAACCTTTGACTAGATTCCTTATTCTATTTACATCGAAGATTATAAGAGTCAATCTCCAGAAGAAGACAAGACAAAGAAAAAAAATAAAAAGAAGGGACTAACTCTGCGACGTTTTTCTTCCTTAATCAAAGTTTCATCGATTTCGGGATGTCCAACCAAATTAAGCTCGATGGGCATAGGAGAGGAAGCGTAAGCGGAGACGGTATGACGACGACCAGCGCCGACGACGGAGGAGGAGTCGAAATGGAAGTAGGCGGAGGAGGCAGAAGGGATCGGAGGGGAGCCTCCACTCGGGGTAAAAGCGGCAGCAGGATAGGCGAGACCGGCCAAGGAAGAGCGTTGTTGGTTTGGCCCAGTATAAGCGGGGTAGACGGCCGTCTGGGAGAATCCAGGACCAGCTAGAGGTGGATAGAGGTTCTCGTTTGGACAACCACCAGTCGTATTATTCGGGTCCTCGAACGGTAAACTCCCTCCTCCTGTTGTTGATGGGGGTGGGAAGTAGCCCGAGGATTGACTGCTGGCCGTGCTGGAGGCCAGACTGGAACAGCTCGATCTGAGTTCACTTGAGGAGAGTGAGCCGTCGTCTAAGGTGTTGCTCCTGAAGCTTCCCGAGGTAGGCAGTTGGGTATGTAAGAAGAGACCCCTGGATTTGGTCTCAGAGGATGGCCAGTTGGACGATGATGATGAGTCATTGTTATTGTTGTTGTTATTGTTGTTGTTGTTGTTGTTATTATTATTATTTGAGATGCTTGGGGGAAGATAGGGTTGGAATCGACAGGATCCGCCGGTGATCGTGGTGTTGTTGGGAGCTGGGATGTCTAGATGGCTCGAGAGAGTCGATTGGGAATTGGGCTACAACGGGCTGTCATGAGTTCGTCCGAGGGCGGGTTTGAAGGGTCTTGGCTGGATTTTGAGAGGGCTGATCCTAGTGAGAGTGGAGGTGGGATGGATCTATTCTGGAGATGTCCGCGCTAGTGGGTAGTTGAGTAAGTGGTGAGATTGGGGATGAGTTGTTGTTGTTGCTGTTGCTGCTGTTGCTGTTGGCTGTTGTTGCTGTTGTTGAGATTGGGTTGATGAGTGGTTGGATCGAAGGTGGTGAGGAGATGGAGAGTGAGGCTAGTGAGTTTGTTGATGGGTGGATGAGCGCCAGGTTGGAGTGATGGACTGGTGAGGTTTGGAAGGATGAGGATGAGAGTGAGGTGATCGATGGGCTTGGTGAGGCTGGTGAGTTGATTGAGTCGGTCGTTGTCGCTGTTGTTGTTGTGAAGTGGTTTGAGTAGTTTTGATTATCGATATTCATCAAGAAGATGGTACTGTTTTTTTTTTTTTTGGTTTTTTGGTTTTTTGTGTTTGCAAACGAAGGAAGTTGATTGGTATTAGTTTATAGGGAATTTGACAATGAGTGTGAAGGTGATGATCGATCGATCGATCGATCGGATAGAGTGAGTGAGTGAGTGAGTGAGTGAAGCAGTAAGTAGAGTAGTAAGTAGTAGTAAGTAGTAAAGTGGTGGTCAACTGGTCAACTGGTGGTCAGAGTGGTCAACAACGAGCGACAACCGGTGTCACACTAGAAACAACAAGTAGATGATGATGAGGAGGAGGAGGAGGAGGGTTTTGATAGTAGAAGAGAAAAGGACAGTGGTTGTGGTCAAGAGGCAGTTAAACAAGTTGGATGTTCCGGCAGAATAAATAAAAAGGGAGGGTGTGAATATCCACTCAAGTAGTATTCGGTTGTATGTATTTTGTATGGTTCTGTTTGAGTTGGGTTGGGTTGGCTTGGGTTGGTCAGTTCATGGAGGCGAAGAAGGCGAAGAAGGAGGAGGAAGATGATCGAAGAAGTTGATCAACTTCACACACCCACATTAACACAATACAACATAACAACACACTCTCACAATACAACATCACATCACACCACACCACATACAGACATACATACATACACACAGTCTGGGGCTGCTTACATAACCAACACAATCAAGATGGATATCGCACTGTATACATAATCAATACTGAAACTGTCCAGATCGACCAGAATCAAAATCCGCCCAGATTTATGGATAATCTTAATTTGCAACCCGAACCATGATGACTACATAGAGGGCTTCAAGTTGACCCGACAGGCACCGGGTATCCAATCAGATCCGCACATATTCATGTAGAAGGCTGGGGCATGATCCCCCCGTCCTTGAGTCAGAGTCAAACTGGCAACAAGCTTAACTTATAAGCCTCGCGTGGTGAGAGTGCCATGTGGGCAGGTCTGGGCAGCAGCTACAGGGTGGAGGAAAAATGGGCCAAGTCTGGACAGGGTTGTGAAAAGAGAGATCAAGCAAAATAGGCAACTGGAGTTCATGGTATGCCTGGACTCTAAGCTTTCCAGCTGTCCAAACTGTGCCTGGATCATTTGACTCATGATTTCAAAAATTAAATCGGTGGCCCATTCTCAATCTCCACCCCAGCTGCAGTCCAGTCTCACCAGCTGAGCTAGGCTTACATACTATCACTCCAAAGCTGGTGTGAGGCAGGCCTGGTTTCCCACCATGCTGTCAGCTGTTGATCTCCCATAGGGGTCTAGCTGGACACAATTGAGGGTAGTAATAAATCTATTACTATGGTAAAGATAAGAACTAAATACAAAAGATGAGAACTTAAGAAGGAAAGGTTGTCAGACATTTGATCTCAACCATATCTAATTTAGGAATACTAGTCCAAATTTAATACAAGTCTTGGATAAATAAAGGGTCTGCCTTTTTGCACACCAAGAAAGACCCCCCACACACCAAACCGGTGTGTGTGGGTGTGCACTCCAAATTCCCTGGTGTACACCATGGTGCACTCCAGGAATTTTGGAGCTGGAGCCCATGGACTCCAATCTCTATTTTGGAGCAGTTCTATGTGGAGTGAACTGGTGGCCACTCCAATGACTTTGGAGTACACAGCCAGACACTCCATCGTCTGCAAGATATCCTACATACATATCAGGCAGACATATCCCCTCAACCAACCACCATCATCACCATCACTTGCATCCATCAATCCTTGCATCCATCATCCATTGATCAAAGTAGATCAGATCTTGACCTTCAACCTTCTCCTCAACATGCTATCCAAACATGACCAAACAATGACCCAGTTCCAAACCAACAGCTCAACCTTACATCACTGTCTGATCAAGTGGGACAAGCTGAAAGCACATGACCAATCCTTCACCCAAGCCTTGATCAGACTGGCTCTACAACTCCAGAGATTCATGAACCAGATGGACGACTACTTTCGGATCCCCCAAGACCACCCTCCTCCCTCACATCTGCATCATCTTCAACATCAGCACCATGAACAACAAGTCATTGTCATAGAGAGGAAAAAAAAAACATCATGACTACCACCACCACTGCTGAAACAATCCAGGAAGAACCTTCTACTCAGATCACGCCAAGTCCAATCAGTCTCAACAAGGCCTTTGCTGAGATCATCACCACCGGCCCATCAGCCCATCTAAGGATTGAGGAAGATCCATCAGCCTAACTACACCACAACCATCTCAACCACCCGCACCACCTTCCCACTGGCACTACCAACAGCTTTGATTGTCCAATCTATCAACCCGATCAACCCAAGGGATCCTGACAACCATCATCTTCCACCAATGTCAGCCACAGGGTCCTGGAAAACACTCCAAATTTTTGGAGTGAAGCTCTGTGCACTCCAAATAATTTGGAGTGCGCATGTTTTGCACCCCTATAAATACCTGGGGAGTAACATCTTGGAGTGCACAGCCATGTACTACAAAAACATCCTGTTTGGCTCATTTTGGTGTGCACTCCAAGAAACCTTGGAGTGCACACCTTTTCTGGTGTGCGCGGGGGGTTTTCTTGGAGTGCAAAAAGGCGGACCCTAAAAAAAGACCTGAAGGGTATATAAATACCATTGCCGAGTTTTATTAACTCAAGCTTGACTACTGTTTTTGAATGAGTATTTAAAAAATAAAATATGATATTTTGATGGATTCTTCAGAGAGGGAGAAAGATTTAATCCAACATGTGGTAGTTTTTATATCCAAGCTGGACATCCATTTTCATGTGAACTCTATAATCAAGCATTGTAATCATACATGAACATAGTTTCTATTTGTATTGATTCTGATTTACATGTCGCTTACTTCACTTACATAGTTAGTGTTTCAAACACTCCTGTCAAATTATGTTTCTGAGTTATCATTTCACTAAAACGGTGACATTCCAAATCATTTATTATGTAAATTTTCTTCAGATTAATAATCCCACTATTACAATGTATTTTCAATACTTCTTTTAAAACTTTTTGGACACACTAGAGTGTCTCTAAGGTTGACACATGGGCAATTGTGTCAAGTCTGAACTGGTGACCTCTGATGTTCCCTGCAGAGCATTGCGTTTTGAACAGACCCGGCATACCCAACCCTGGGTTTGGATATACTGGGTTGAGATTTTGGTTCAGCTATTACCCAACCTGGGCCGCTGGGTTGCACCCTTAATCATGACTCCATACAGTACAGCAGTAGTTATACACAGACCCAGATCATCAATTCCAATTTTTTCATGTGGAAATTCTACCATCTAGCATTTGCAAGGCTCTCAATCAATTCTGGGGGAGGTCTTAAAATCTCCACTGGTCAGGAAGTCCTCCACTATGTAGTTCACTTTATGAGATATTCTTACCAAAAAAAATCCCAAAGGGGGGACATTTTTCAGAACCTGCTACATAATGTATCTTTGTGTGTAGATTAATGCATCTTTGTGTGTAGATTTCTTCAGAACAAGAAAAAAAATTCAAATGGTTCAAATTTTAATTCAAAAACATACACATCTTGTTTTTTTTCTCTTTCTCTTCTCCTTGTCACTGTCAGTGATCAGGCCTACATACTAAAATCACATGTATCAAACTGAAGTAAAAGGATTCAAGCATACAACATTGTGTAGTTTGGATTTGAGACAAGCTAGCAACGCTGCAACAAATACAGTATTTGCAATGTATTGGCACGTATTTTTTCATGTATCATGGTCTTGATGTAATTTTTTTCATGACCAATGCGGTTCTATTGAGAGTCTTATTCATTTAATCTGGCTCTTTGCCATATATGTTGGTACAATTCCTCATGATACAAACTGTGTATTGTATTTGTTGCAGCTTTGAAGCTAGTGAACAACTTCAAAGCTTCTTGTATATATCAATTTGGTCATATTTCAGATCAAAAATGTAGTCCAGATGATTACTGCTAATTTATCTTGCATGTTTTGATCTTATCACCTAAATAGTTGCCAAGTATCCACAAACACAGCAAGGAGAAAGGCAACTGATATGATAAGCTTGGTCAATCTTAGAATTCCTGTAAGGATTCATGTACTTGATCATGTCAGAAGAACAGGATCTCAAAAGGAATTCAGAATTATGGTCAGTCAAATATGTAAGACCCAGCAAACCTCCTGTAAATATGGGTAACTAAAATGTCCCAAAAATTCAAAACGGTAGGCACCAAAACCGGATGGATTTGTTTTTTTTTGTCAAGGATATACTCACCTATAAGAATGTATTTTTTTTCTGTTTCTGTTGTTTTTGGTTCATTTTTATACTTTCTTCACTCATTTTCAGATTTATTTTGGGTAAATGTTTGGATGCTCCCATATAAAGGAGAAAACTTAAAATGCTAGCCAGAAAGGAGAAAAAAAAAGCTTGAACTTGAAGGAAAGAAGCCATAAAACTCCAACATAGCAATGAAGACTTTGAAATCAGGGACTCTATGTCTGAAACTCCATCACAAGTTCAGTGTGCATGACTCTGATGCCATTTTTTGTATGTATTGTGCTGAACTCATTTATACGTCACTTGTTTAAACTGAGAGTGAGACCCAAAGCTTGCACTTTAAGTGACAAAAGCCCCACTCAGTCTTGCTGGCTTCCAAGGAGACATCTGTTAAATTTGCGCTGGAAAAAGGCTTGATTTGCGAAGAGTGATTGCGCCTGCAGTCACAGGTCTTGCCAACCTTTATAACTGAGTTATTCTTGGGTGCAATGGGGGGGGGGGGGGCACTTGCTCAAGGTCTTGCCAGCCCTTGTCACTGTGTCACACTTGAACTTGGCCATGACCATGTCCCTCGATCAGAGGCGCGGGGTGCTCTTTGGCTCTGATCCTGGGAGTGGACGTGACTCAAGTCTGCTTGATAAAGGCTACAGGTTATTTAGCCAACTGAGCCGGTGGGTTGTCTCTCCTGGTCAAGTTCATCCGCGCAATACAATGGGACTGACCAACAAGTCTCACAACTGACAATCAAACAACTCGGATGTGCTCTCCGGGGCTTAATGTTTTTCTGTCAACAAATTTCATCAAAAGGCTGAGGCAATAGGCCATGTTCCTCACCAATCTCAGAAGCCTCAGGAGACAACAACCGCAGTGGACATTGATGAAGCTCTATACTCAACTTCGGTTTTCTGCTCGCTGAATCTGAACAAAGGAACTGCTCTGTCTTTGACTGGAACACGTCAATCGAAAGGGAAGCACGATTAAGAACATGTCGATTCAGCTTGTTGAGTTCTACTATGAGCAAAATCAGTGACTCCGAAGGCAAAACACTCAATGGGGCTTAGTGGCGAAAACCCTTTACTGTCCTTACTTAACATTTCTCTGGAAAGTCCATCAGCTCTACTCGTCTTAAGAGTCTCTCTTCCCGGATACTTAAACCGATGGGGTGAGGGAGAAATTGAGTTGTTCCCAATAGACCGAAAAAGATTGTGACATTATACAGCATGCGTCTTCTAACAGGCTCCATGAAACCCTCGCTATCCCGACTTCCAACCGAAATCAAAAAACTTATCGTCGACTGTGTTGCACTTTTGACGGAGAAGAGAAGGTACACTGTACTTCCCCAATTCCTAAAACTTGCCTTCGTAGATCACACCTTTTATGAACTTTGCAGTCGATTGAATTGGAATGTACGTACCGATTTCTTCTATCTTATCCCACTTTCCACCTTTCGTTTTCCTTCCTTCCAGTTTGGTTATGTACACATACGCATCCTCTGTGGCAGACCTGTGGGTTCTGAACATCATTGTTTGATTCATCCTTCTTGATTAGGAGCTCGATCTAATGTATCTCGGAATCCCTCACCTTGAAGAACTCATCCAAAATGTTCTACCTCGTCAAGCCAAACATGTGCGCTCAATCATGATCGGGTTTCATCCCGGCGATGAGTACGACCTCAATTTTAAACGATCAACCAATTCCATCGCAATCGACGGAAGTGACCAATATCCAGAAGGACAATTACGCGAGATTTTGAAGATTTGTCCAAATTTGACCAAGCTCACCGTGCACCTCGACTCAAACTCATTGGATGAATTTGGTAACTTTATCATCGACCCTTCAAATCAGATGTCAAAGCTCTTGTCGCCGATCTCGCATCTTTCCAACTTGACCTACATCAAGCTAAATAACAACACATACAGCGATCTTAAAGAGGAGTCCTTAGTTAAACTAATCCAAAGGATGGTACACCTAGTCCATATTTGCATCCACAGGGGTGTTGCAGCCTCCTTTCCAAGATGTGATTTCTGCGAGTGTTCCGAATCCATTCAACCCACTCTGTCACCACTGGCCGTTCATCTAGCTACACTACCATCGCTCAAGGTTATCGATTTTGATCGTGTGAATTGCTTTGATTCAGGCTGGAGTAAAATTAAGTGGAAAGGAGCACTCGAAGAAATCATCCTATTCAATTGCCACAGGATTTCTCTTCATTCCGTCCACGCATTCTGTGAACTCTTCGAAAACAGTCTGGTCAACCTCTCACTTTACTGTGCCCCTATCAGCCTCGACGATATCGATGGATGGCACATCCTACCCGACTCCGATCTCAAATACACCTTTCGCCTTCCGAAATTGAAGAGGCTGTCTGTCTTTAACTTGTATCCCCCCGAATTTCTACACTTATTTCGACAGTGCTGCAACATCACCAGTATCAGCCTGAAACTTACTATCTGGGAGTCGATTGCCTATTTGCCTGCAGACATCAAAGACTTGATGGATCATGATGAGCCAATCTGGATCCACTTGAAATCACTGTTGATCTACCAAAAGGGCAAATTCAGTCCTGATGAAGTTGATTATCTGATAGCCCATGGTGCGAAAGCCGGTGTAAAGGTGGAATGTGGCCCCCTCAGCAAAGTGGGGAACCGATTTATTGAAGAATGCGTCCGTGACGATAACTTTCGATCGCAATAACCAAGCCTCACTGACGGGCAAAATGAGGAACGGATTGGACAGCACACAACAATGAACAGACCAGTTCTATAATAGATTTTATTTTTGTGTAGAATGTATTGAATGCTTGAAACATTTTATCTTTTTTCTTGAATTTTTTTCTTGTTTATGTACATTGCTGCAACATCATGATGAGCTTCCTGGAGGAAAACAAAATAATCACATCAACCTATGAGCTTTGAATCTCAAGTGTGGAGCTCCCATGAATTCTGCAAGAATTCAATCTACATACTTTTGCTTGCCTGATGGTCTGCTTGGAGTAACAATTTCCCATTCCAAGATGCCAATCACAAATCAATCAAATATTTGAGCCAGTTGCTTCCTCCTCCGCCCAAAAAAACAGATTTAGCCAATGTCAAACCCTGATTCACATACACAGTGGATTCCCAACTGGTTTAAGCCAAATAAATTGTCAACTTTCATCCAACAATTATCTGAGTCTATGTATATGAATTTCTCAACATAGCCATTAACATCCACCCAGATGATGAATTCTAATGCAATTAATCATTTTGGACTCCACCCGATTCCTTTGGTTGGTAATATCTTGGTTGAAGCAATTTCTGTAAGATTTGATGTGAAGTACAATTGATGCACTGTTTCAGTCAGTGCTATATGTGTCCATTTTGACTAGTGTTTTGTTTTTAGTTCAGCTCAAGTTTCAGAGACCTTCATTTGTTTGTTGTACTGAATCATTATCTTTTTGTGTTCAAACTATCAGCACCTTTTGATCAGCAGGTTGTTGAAAATTTTTGCACATTAAGATGGTGAAAGTTTTACAAAGGATGTTTTTTTTTTTTTTTTTTTTTCTCATTTTCCTGATCAATGCATTCAACTTTTCATTTGATTCAAGCCAAGAAAAATTTGCAGATGGGGAAGGAAATTGTTTGGCACAGGCAAGGGTGACAGAAGAGGTGTGTGACCGAACAGTCACTCCGGTGCTGATTTGGTATGCAAGCTGTTCAAAGATGTGGTGCTCTATTTCCTCATCAGTCTTGGCCTCTAACAGGAACTTCCTAGTCAACCAAGCGTCGTCTTAGATCGGATATTTAAGAACTGCAGCCAACCTAATTTCTTGTTCAAGCAAACCTCTCAACAAGCAGTGACTGTTGGTCTGCAACAAAAAAAAAAAAAAAAAAAACGCAAGCGAGAGGAGATGCCCAGCGTTGTCATCAACTCTTCGATCCGTTTCCTGCGCCTCTTAGAGCTTCAATCCAGCTTCAATCTTCCATCCCACCACCGCAGTTTTGCGAAAACTTTAGCCCGAACTACAATCATGACTTCTCCTAAAAAAGAAATCGATCCCGACGTCAATTGGAGTAGTCCGTTGCCCAAGCAGACACCCTCGGATGCTCCGAATGACGCTAAGGAGGCCGATGATGCCAAGGTTTTTACTTACCTCGTGGTGGCTCCTGACCTTGGCGATTCAAAAAGGTGCGCAACAACAGCCAGCTATGTACTACCGTCTCGGACCATTGGCCTTCCTCCTGCAAGAAAGTAAGCACGCCTAGATCTATTTGCTTATGCGTTTCTTTCTTTCTTTTTTTATCTTAGGGCCATTCTTAGAGCGGAACATTTTAAAATGGCACAGGAAGGCTTGAAGACTGGTCGGATCGGTTCGTGCTCTAATCCCAGTGTATACTAAATTCCCTCATGAACTGAAAATTGGACATTTTCGACAACGATGTTAATGATCCATCACAGTTAACGCCGGCGCTATGCTAGAATCGGATGCCTCGGAATCAAACAACTTTGATCCCAAAATGATCGGTGAGATCCATTTTTTTCTTTTGAATCATCTGTCATTCCATCTCTTTTATTGAAATCGAGAGATGATGAAGACTGTGGCTCAAACCTGACAAAAATAAATGTGTGACTCTGCCCATGCTCTTCATACATTTCCAACAACATGGACTTATTGTCAGGTTCTTGGTTATTGATCAAAGCGAGATCAATTGAAGAAGCCAGAAGATTATGTTTGAACGATATATACGCGAAAGAATCTGCCTGGGATACCACCAAGTTACAGATCACACCGGTTAAGACATTAGTTTGACCTGCGAATTGTTGCATGGACATTCTTCCTTGATCACGGCAATCCAAAAGTTCTACCATCTGTCAATGTCCTTGAGTCTGCCCCTGCCCCTGTTGTATCCAAACCGGCTGTAAGCTGGTGAGATCAAAGCGAGACAAAGGTTGAGAACGTCGTAAGTTTCTATCAGTCGTGGATGGCTTCCAAGCATTTCCCTCTGTAAGCTTTCCCCAATCGCTTCAGTGAAGCAATCTACAGAAGACCCCAGGAGTACTTTGCTGAGTGAACAGCACACTGTCACAAACTGGTCAATGGGTGCGGTGAGTCATGGAAAGTGGCTGATCCCATGCTGAACCGCCCATGAACAAGGGGCTTTTGGCCCTTGCTATACGTTGGCGATGAGATTGATATGCGTCAAACCCCGGCCTGAAAGTCGAGGACTTTAATGGTTAGAGCCATGCAGGGAGATGGCACAAGTCATTAAGGAAGCTGCCTAGGGAATCATAAGTATGAATTTTCATTGCATATATCATATAGGTTCTATATCCAGGAGAGTCCAAACACCGGCCCATTCCAATGATCCTTGGGCGGCTGGCAATCCATAGTGCATTTCTGCACATCCCGTATAATGATATTACCCTACTTACTCTTCTTTGTCGATGGTTGTTCGTTCGGAAACGTAGACACCTGGGAGAGAGAAAACAAAAATCAGCCAGATGGAAATTTTGAGGGCAGGTGGTTCAAGGTGACTAACCGTCAAGGAACTTTCGGATATCCTTGTTCTTGACCAGACACGAGGTGTGGATGGAAGCGGCAGATTGCGAAACTTTCTCAATGTCAAGACCTGTCCAGGGAAAGAAGCAAGTCACACAATGTGAGCCTTTGATGAGAACGATCAACAAGGTGACTAGAAGCGGCACTGACCTTGGATGGTGATTTCATCCTTCTGGGACTTGCTTTCAGTGACAGTGACACCCTCCAACATGGGTACGTGTCGGACTCGCTTTTCACCCAAGAAGTTTCGGATTTCCAGGGATTTGGCGTCATCGGAAATGATGATGTTGATGGGGAAATGTGCGTAGACCGATCGCATCTTGTAAAGGAAACCTTTGGTCACACCGATGATCATCTAGACAAAGGTGGTGGAAAGAAAGGGCAATTGGATCGGTAGATTAGTGCTGGGAGACTCGGTAAGACTCATTATGGACGTGGCTACTAACGTTTTCGACCAATGATTTGACAGTTCTCAAGCAAGCAACGTGCTTGCGACCTCCGTGCCAGACGACGAATTTGACCTTGTAGCCTTTGGGGCCAGAGATGAGCTTCAAATCCATGTTGATGTGTTTGATGTGCTGATCAAGAGAAAAAGGGCCACCAACGTGTTAGGTCAGCTAAACAGCACGCCACAGCCCGACTAGAGCGACTGGAAACATACCTTGCACAGGGTTCCCTTGGGACCCTCAACAGTCACTGTTCGGGCTCGGATGGTGACCTTGACGCCTTCGGGCACAGCCAATTCTTCATCTTTGTAAATGTCCTTCATCGTTGACCCGAAGTCTGATTTGACGTAACAAGCCTTATTTCAGTAAAACGAATGGAAATGACAGTTCACGGTAACGAAAGACTGACAAAGTGGTGCCGGAAGTTGTCGCCGAGGTCGGTGTTCGTCGTTGTCGTAGGTGGTCGGAGGTAATATGGGTCGTTCTCGGCGGGTATACGGGCAGCGTCAGGGCTCACTGAGTTAGGTCAAACCCACCCGGATGTCCGGCGGTGGTAAGCGAGGTTAGGTTTCATTTGCTCGTGAGTCCTGCTGCGCCGCAGTCGCCTGCAAGAGAACGGCGCTCGGATAGTTCGACCCATGTATCCGAGTCTCACCAGATACCGGACTGCTTCAAAATCGATACACCTGACAGCTGTCTCAAAACTTATCAGCAGCTTGGCCTTGAACTCCTCCGATCAGATTGGCCTACTTCTACAACTTGTGGCCACTCGAGGGCTCCAGTAAACTTCCATCAAGCAGATCTTAATCACCTCCAAGCAACCCACCAACAACAGAATAATAATCTAGGCAATTATAACTTATAACTAACCGGTTTCAATCACTGATCCATATTCTGTGATGCACCACAGCAGGATCAAAATGAATCCCCTGTTCTTGGAGATAAGGTAGATCGTGTAACTGGCATGTCTTCTTTTTTCGGCACAGGCACCATGGAAGAGGGACAGGGGAAATATAGATATCTTGCTTTTGATGTGGTTAAACAATGCAAGGAAGCAACGTGGAATTCATGGATGATGTGTTTCTTCAAATTTTGACAACCTTGAATAATTAGTGTTGCAACACTTGTGTTACCCTGAGACTTGCCGCAGCACGGTGTCAGACACAACCAGGGACCAGGAAGACTTTCCGTGGTTGAAGTCTGACTGGCCTTCCTGCAATCTACAATAATTATTGGCCATAGCTCTAATAATTGGAACCAGGATTGCTTAATTGATTCTGATTTGGTTTCTGGTCAAAGTTTTGCAAAAAAGACACCACATTTAGGAAAACAAGCAAGAGAAAGTCCAATCATGACCCCCACTAATCCAAACCTAGAGCAATTTCAGAAAAATTGCTAATCACTAGAAAATGGATTGCTATATCCACTTTTTGGAACTTGTGTTTTCCTTTTGGCAGCCCATTCTCAGATTTTTCACCATCGAAGGCTGCTAAAAATGAGCCGAAAGCTCATGAAAGGATGACTGAAAAGTGGATTCCACAGGTTGATGTTAAAAAGGTAGATGTAGCATTGATCACGGGGTTTGTTGCAAAGAATTAGAGCTGGTCTCTGGATATCCGTTGCGGATATCCGTTATCCGCTGGCGGATACCCGCCGGCTGTAGCGGATACCCGCCAGCGGATGCGGGTTCGGGTGCGGATGTGCCCTTTCCGCTGATTTTCCAGCGGATACCCGGGTATCTCAACGGATACCCGAGGCCGGAAGGGCAGATGGCCGGCTGGAAGGGTTTCCTTCCAGCCGGCGAGGTACATGTACCTCAACGGCTGGAAGGATTTCCTTCCAGCCGCCTCGCCGGCCCTTTAAAGGGCGGGTATCCGTGGATACCCGCTCGGATACCCGCTGCGGCCGACGGATACCCGCTAGCGGGTGCGGGTGCGGATGCGGATGCGGATGGCCATTTGGCCTGAAAAAGCAGCCGGATATCCGCATCCGCGCGGATATCCGGATGCGTAGCGACCAGCTCTACAAAGAATCCCAGATCCTCATGTTGTTTTTGGCGACCCACACGTCCCACCCGTACTGAGTCCTGACTTGGTTAAGTTCGGGCCGTTGCACGGCAGGTCCTCCATCAATTTTCCGTTTTTTTTGCACTCTGTTTATGCAAGGTAAGTTACAAACCTGAAAACCAGCCAGTTCTTGTTTTCGGAAGGGTGAAGGCATCACGCGAAACAGTTGTGATGTCGATAAAGAGACTGTGATGTTTCTCGTCAATCAATCAATCAAATTACGCTAGACCATGATCAATGATAGAATTGATACTGTACTTTCCTAATCTTGCTCCATGCCAGGATGACGAGATACCGTATCGTATGTGAGGTAAGAAAGCCGGCGCGCAATAGCCGTGACTATAGACCTTTCCCTAATTACTGCACTACCGGTATTGGTCGAGGCTGAGCTAAGTACCGGGAGAAATGACGAGCAAGGCATTGTCTTAGAAAGGACTACCGACATTGTTGGCTCACCCCGTATACTCCGGAGTTCCCTCAAGAAACCGCGGCTTGGAGGTCCCAACAAGATGCATGGTCTTGGCGTTGGCTTCGGCTATCGTTCTCCATCCAACACCTCTGGCGGTCCGATGTGTGAGGGAGATCAGCGTCATAAGTGCTCCTCTGACTCTCTCTCTCTGAGTTGCCTCAATATATATCCAAGAAACTTCCCCAGTACCTATTGGCTCCATATCCCATATCCCACCCCGTAAATAATTCTT